TCCTCCGCCCAGACAAGCTGCCGGGCGAGGCCTCTGCTCAGCCCTGGCTGAGGGCAGGGAGGGCTGCGCTGCCAGCGGCCGCCGAGAGCAGCAGGCCCCGAGGAACAAGCGCTCCTCTGCGGCACACGGGAGCCCCGGGGATTACACCTTTCCCAAGCCCCCGGTGATCTGGAGACCACGCCATCGATGCAGGCACACGTGAAGGTGTAAAATAGCTTTTTATTTCTCCCGGTGGAGCAACTCTGACACAAACAGACAGACGGTGGCTGCTGTTAGTCAAAGAGACCGAATCCCATGTCCTCATCAGACTCCTCCGATTCCTCCTTCACTGCCTCTTTCGCCGGAGCAGCAGCGGCAGCGGCAGCAGCTTCAGCTACCACAGGCATGGCCGCCACAAAAGCAGAGGGGTCTGCCAGGAAGGCCTTCACCTGCAAAAGAGGGGGTGGGGGGAAACTAAACTCAAAGGAAACAAACATGTTGTCATAAAGGCAACACTTGCAGCTTGCCGGAAGCCAAATGATGCACTTATCACTGCCATATATGAAGAATCAGAAACATTTCAGCTACACTCAGGTGAAATAGCCCCAGGGAGGAAGGAATGCCAGGTAATTCAGCTTTCTCCTGCCATTCGTACACAACACGAAAGCAAGCACCCCTTTTCAGGACAGGTCCCTTGCACACAGGCGGGTCCAAGTCCTTTCAAACCAGGTGACACACGAGGTGTTTCTGTGAAAGTGCCTGGCTGCATTTTTAACACCCCTCTGAGCAGCAGATCGCTCAGCCATTACCTTTTCAGCCAGTGGGAAGGTGTAGTCCGTCTCCACCGCCACAGCTAGGACCCGCTTGTACCCATTGATGATGGAGTGGGGCACGGAAGCAATGGTCGGGTACCCAATTTGCAGACAGACGCTGGCAACATTACGAACACCCTGTGAGGAGAGAGACTCATGTTTCTGTGCTCTGAGAAATAACCTGGACTAGAAACCACGGCAGATGATGTTACGTTTCTACACTGCCAACGTAACGAGGGATAGCATGCAATGCACACAAGTAACACAGCTCCACTGAAATTAGACAAGGCATCAAGACCTAAAGGGCCTCCAATGCTTTCTGCGGATGAAAAAGCCTACAGAAGGTACTCCCTGACGGACTGTTTCTGCAGGGCACCAGGGAGAGCTCCTGGCTCTGCAGGACCTCATGGAAAATACCAGGGATGATACCTCATTCTGGGGCAGTGGTGGCTGCAACAGCAGGGAAGCGGAGAGGTAGAACATAACAGATATGGGTTGTGGCACCCACCTCCAGGAAGCGCTTGTGCAAGGTCTCCTCAGTGATGTCCAGCACTTCAGGATTGTAAATGCTGCCATTGTCAAAGACTTGCTGGATCACCAACCCGAAAGAGAAGGGGGAGATGTTCAGCATGTTCAGCAGAACTTTGTCTCCGGTCTTGATGAGCTGCACATCGCTCTGAGGAAATAAGGGGAAAAGGAGTGAACACGCGCAAAGAAATTCAGGCGTGTCAATGCAAGGGGACACAAACGCACATTTCCAATAGCAAGAGATGGAATTGAAGGAACAAATGAGCACAACAAAAACAGGCTCCAACTTCAGCTCCACAAGTTGAGAAAGCCCTAGACCGCACAAGCAGGTGCATCTCAGCTAGAAAGGCAGCGCCCTTCCTGCATTACCTACAGGTAGCTCGCCGGTGAGTTCCTCCAGCAGAGCCTACCCACACAGCTGAGATCTGATGGAGAACTTAAATCCCCCCGTACTGCATACCTGAGCCAAGCCAGACATCCTCCTTCAAGTTCCCAAAGCGCAACAGACTGATGATACAGTATTTCAGCACTAATGGGAGCTTTAATCTTTACAGCTCCCTCAACTGCTGCAACGAGGGCCCTCCAGTCAAGGGAGAGCTTCAACAACAGCAGCACACTGCTCACTCACCAGAATTTCAATGGTCCCTCTGGAAATCTTCGTGGTGATGCCCAAGGCCTGGAAAAAGGAGGTCTTCTCAGGTCCAAGACCCGTGTTCTGGGCCGGCACAGTTACATCGCAAGGTGCAATAGCACCAGCGCGGGCAGCAGCTGGCACCTGGGGAAAGGGGAAACAAGAAGCTGGAAGAATGCTCACCTCTCAGGTCTTGTGGGATGGCATCAACTCCTTTCTGAAGCATTCCTCTAGGATGGACAGCACCCAGGCACACACAAATGAGAGAACTGAACTTAAGCAGTTTGGCTAAGGCTGCAGGGGCCTAATTTCCAACCCTTGAGGACTCCTACTAAACAAGCATCCCCCATGAAGATTCAGTTTTATTTTTAATTCCATATCTGCCAGCCCAGAGACATCGTGAGGGCCGATCTTCCCTACCTTGTTAGCCAGCAGCATGTCCCGGATCTCAGTCAGATCCTCCTTGGTGAAGACAAAGCCCACGTTCCCACGGATGTGAGGCAGCAGCCTGAAGGAAAGATGACAGCCTTCAGTTCTGCTTCTCAGACAACGTCTCCTCCTCCCAAAGAGAGGCACCAGGAGTACATTCGGACAGCAATACCCACTTTTCTAAGGCAGGGTTATTCTCCAGATGACCACGAATAGCTTTGCGCATCATAGTATTCTTCCCCATCAGCACAACAGCTTTCCCACGCAGGGACATACGGATTTGCTGCATCTGCTTGGATCCCACATTGTCTGCTCCCACAATAAAACATTTTGGGTAATCATCCAGCAGTTGCTATAGCAAGAAAAATACTGTAACTATACAAAGAAATCTGGACCAGTACAGAGAGCAGCATTAAAACCTCAACATGTTAAAATGTAAAAAAAAAACCTCTATCACAAATTTGAGAGTGCTCAGCTCAAACTGACGTGGGGTGAACCACATGGCTGCACCTTCCACTCAGCCATCTAGTTATATCTCTGAATAAGTTATCTCTGTAACTACCACAGCAAATTCTCACAGGAGTCTTAAAAACGGCCCGATCTGGACTGTCTTAATCTCCTCTTATCGCCACGTAGTCCTTAAAAAGACAAGCTTTCTTTTTTTTTAATAAGACCCC